CTGATCACCCCCAACTGCCCTCCCCTCCTGGCCTGATCGCCCCTAACCGCCTCTGCCTCGCCCCACCACCATGGCTTTGTCCAAAAGGACGTCCAGAAGGTCTCCCAGTCTAATTAGCATATTACCCTTTTATTAGTATAGATTGTTTCAAAGGTAAAAAAGAGGTACATCATTTACCATGTGCAAGTTCAAACTACAGGTCACCATTAATTGAACTTTTATAAGGCTTCTGCTAAATAAAAAGAAGTTTGCTTGTAATATGAAGAATTTTTTTCAGATTAACAAAAAAATACTGTAAATGAAAAATCATGCTTTCAAGTCAAAGAAATCACATTTAAAAAACATAGTTTATAATATACAACATTAGAAACTTGTACATGCCTTCACTTTTGAAAAAAACAAAACCCATTCTAGAAACAAGTAAGTACAAACCTAGATAAAACTTTAACTTAAAAAAAATTTTTTTTAATGTTCCATATCTTAAGAAGTTAATAAAAACAAAGTCTTCACCAAAGCATGTTGTAAGCCATATTAATCAAAGGCACATAAAAGAGCAATCAATTGTGTTAACCCACTAAGATATTGGTGGAATTTTAAATACTGCTAAAAAGAAAATGCATTATATAGCTAGTATTTTAGTTATTATTAAGTTCTCATATTAAATTATAAAAAATGTAAACTGAAGCATATTTTCTAGTCAAAATTTATTTTTTAATTCAGAGATTAAATTCAAATAATATAAGCTACGAAGATTTCTGTTATCAATAAAAGGACCTACTAATAAACATAGGAAACTGCTTAATTCATTTAACAAAGGTTAATATTTACTGATTACCTAAGTGTCAGGTACTCTTACTCTTCTCTGAGTTTGGGAGATATCAGTAAACAAAATTAGACAAAGAAGCCCTCATAGAGTTTACATTCTAGGGCTCGACTTTCTTTTTTCCCCTTTGGCTCCCTTCTTTTTTAATGTCATAAAAGGGAGGGAGGATATTGGACCTCTCTTCACTATCACATAAACAGCAAGATTATCCTTCACCAATTCCCTGAAGAATCATCACAGCCACAATACTTTTAAACTATGGAGTAGTATAATTTCCTTCTCAATACATTATATTCCAACTAAAAATAGGACTTCAGCTTCCTAATGCCAACATAAGTGATTCTTAAGTCACTAGCACTATGGGAGTTCATAATAATTTTAGAATGTCAAGAATCATAAGTTCTGCCTTCTCTTTTAAGTAAATAAAATTTATTTTTTTATTTTATTAATAAAATAAAAACTAAAAGTTGTTATTAAACCAAAAGTACAGTTCACATCTTATCAGAGCTGCCATGTCAAGGTAGCGTGAGTTTTTTAAAATTAGTACCTAATTTTTTGGCAATTGCATAAGCTTCATCTGGTGACTTAGCCACTTGTCCTTTGGGAATGGCGACTCCAGCTTCTTGCAACAATTCCATACTCATGTATTCATGTAGTGAGAGATTCCTTTGTTGTTGTTGCTGTACTTGGAGTCCATGGTTGTTAAACAATCCAGAACTTCCCAGAACCTAAAGAAATTGGGGATATAATTATATGATACTAAATTGGCAGTTATTCTTATTAAAAACACCTTCTCAAAATTCTTTGTCTCTATATAGTACTTGGTTCTTCATAACTGCAATAAACCTATTACACTAAATAAAATATAACATTCACAGTACCTAAATTACAATTTGAAATTAAAAGCTAATCTGCCAGCTAAATGTCAAATGTTATCCTTTTAGTTTTAACTATTTCCTCATCATCTCTAGTCCTTATCTTTCATTTGAGTTTTACTACCATATCTCTAAAGATATTCAAAGCATTTCTACCTCAAGACCAAATTCAGTAGATGTAAAACCAATCTTATCTTCCCAACAAACCAAAAATCCTTCCCAACTTTCTTCTCTCCACCATTCCTCTAGCACAGCGGTTCTCAACCTGTGGGTCGTGACCCCTTTGGGGGTCGAACGACCCTTTCACAGGTGTCGCCTAAGACCATCAGAAAACACATATATAATTACATATTGCTTTTGTGATTAATCACTATGCTTTAATTAGGTTCAATTTGTAACAATGAAAATACATCCTGCACATCAGATATTTACATTACGATTCATAACAGTAGCAAAATTACAGTTATGAAGTAGCAACAAAAATAATTTTATGGTTGGGGGTCACCACAACATGAGGAACTGTATTAAAGGGTCGTGGCATTAGGAAGGTTGAGAACCACTGCTCTAGCACCTAACAAATTACCTGGCACTAGGTATGTGATTAATTGAATGACTTGGTACCATTACTCTTTTATACACTCCAGAGTCAAAGCCGCCCGGCCAGCATGGCTCAGTGGTTGAGCATCGACCTATGAACTAGGAGGTCACAGTTCGATTCCTGGTCAGGGCACATGCCTGAGTTGCAGGCTCGATCCCCAATGTGGGGTGTGCAGGAGGCAGCCGATCAATGATTCTCTCTCATCATTGATGTTTCTATCCCTCTCTCCCTCCCCCGTACTCTCTGAAATCAATAAAAAATATGTGGTTGTTTGTTTTGTTTTGTTTTATAAAGAGTCAAAGCCCTGTATTAGATATTGTGGTGTATTGTCCAGATCCTCCCTTCAGCACGAAGGCATTCACTGCCCCAGCTGCTGGGAGTGTTGGTTGTGGCAGCTCTCTGATGAGTCCTGTCATTGGAGCATCCTAACCCAAAGTCACACCTCCTTTATATTGGCAGCCTGCATCCAATCACTGGTCAATGGGGATTAAAGGAGGGATATAAAAATCTGATACCTCACCCCAATTTGTGACAATGCAGAAAGATCATCTTAGTTGCAGATCTCCTGTGGTAACAGCAGAGGCCCCTACTGCAATTGCACAATTTTACTTCTTCCTCTTATTCAACCCTTTTTTCTTCACTCTCCCAAAGGTGTTGGCACAGAGATCACTCTCCAGTAGACTTTCTCCAAGGATCTCTCCATCTAATAGCCTACAAGTATCATATCAGAGAACTGATCTGCAACATCAACTGTAATACATTCCTTCTAAATAATTCCCTTAACTGGCACAGCAGTCACCCCTTATCCACAGTGGTTTCACCTTCTGTAGTTTCAGTTAGAAACTAATGGTCAAGCTCAGTCTGAAAATATTAAATGGCAAATTCCAGAAACAAACAATTTAAGTTTTAAATTGCTCGCCATTCAGTCCTGGCTGGGTAGCTCAGTTGGTTAGAGCGTTTTCCCAATACACAGTTGAAGGCTAGCCAACTACACCCAAAAGGTTTCAAGTTCAATCCCTTGTCAGGGCACATACAAGAATCAACCAATGAAACCTTAAGTTAGTGGAACAACAAATTTATGTTTCTCCCTTCCTCTAAAAATAAATAAATAAATAAATAAATGAATGAATTGCTTGCCATCCTGAGTAGCAAGATGAATCTCACACTGTCCAGCTCCATCCAGCCTGGGATGTGAATCATCCCTTTGTCCCGCATATCCATGCTGCATACAGTGCCTGCCCATTAGTCATTTAGTAGACATCTTGGTTATCAAATCTGCCATGGTATCAGAGCACTTACATTCAAGTAACTCCTATTTTACTTAATACTGGCTCCAAAACCTCTCACCTAACTGCTATTACGTGTTTTTTTTTTAATAACCGTTCTATTGTACTATTAGTTATTGTTGTCAATCTCATTGTGCCTATTTATAAATTAACTTATCATAGATATCTATATATATAAAAGCCTAAGCAACCATTATGACCGAACGACCAGTCGCTATGGCACACACTAACCACCAGGAGGCAGATGCTCAATGCAGGAGCTTCCCCCTGGTGGTCAGTGCGCTCCCACAGCCAACCTCCCCCAGTCCCTCCCTTCCGGCTTGCAGGCCCCAGCCAGCCCAGCCCCCAATAGGGCCTGGGTGAGACGGCCCCAATAGGCCCTGATCACCAGCCAGGCCTAGAGACCCCACCAGTGCTCGAATTTCATGCACTGGGCCTCTAGTGTATGTATAAAAGAAAAAACAATATATATAAGGGTTTGGTACTATCCATGGTTTCAGGTGTCCACTGAGGGTCTTGGAACGTATCGCTCATGTATAAGAGGAGACTTCTGTAAATTTGTATGGTTTCTTTCAAACACATATTTACAAAGAATTAGTAGTACACATAGGATACTGCTGATAGCTTTTATACCACTTTATTAAGTATTTATACCACTCTAAAATACTTTGATAATCCTTTCCAGCTAAATTCAATGTGTGGTCTTGAAAAAGTTTTCTAAGACCCTGACTGCACCTCTGTGTCCTCATCTTCAAAAGCAAGGGGACAGACCACTGAGGTCCTTCCAAACTCTAAAGCTACATTACTTAATGTGAGAGTAGAAGAGATGCTATTAAGACAATAGATTAGGCATCTCCATATGGAGACACCAAGGCTGACAAAGGAATTTCCAAAAGGCTAAAGGTTATGATTAGGATGAAAATATATTCTAAAAACTAGACAGCACCCTTTACAACTCACAAGAAAGTTCAAGACCAAACAATAACACTTTTATTAGGAAGCACACTCATGGAACTCACTACCTGTAGGTTGAAAGTGTGAATAGCTTTTAAAAGAAAAATAATGGTTAAAATCGATTCATTTACGGCACGTCTGAGGAGTTACTTCAGAACATAGCTGGCTTACAAAGCCAATGATGCCCTTCCACAAGTTTTATCCTTGAAAAGAATCGGCCAATTCCTATGTTCTGGAAAACCCTGTAGAGCAGATTCAAGCACACAAGCTCTGGAGCCATTCGGTTCTGGAATTAAAGCTAAGCTTTGACCTTACCTACGTCCTGGCCCAACCCAAATCACCTGTTCTCTTGGCAACAGTTTCTTCATCAATGATGCTAATGTAGCCGGCTCCCTTTTGTGTTGCTGAAAAGCCTAGTAAGACTGCCTGGCACACGGTAAACACTCAAAAAGCCAAACAAAACCTGAGGCCATTATGCTATCATCTATCCAAAGCTGAAGTGCTCCGAAGATCACTTCCCCAATTGGAAACCCAGCACACACCATCTTATTACCACGATGAACAAACACGGCGACGGGGCGGGGAGCAAACTGCCCGGCCGCGTCCAGAAAAGCCCAGTCAGCGAGCACCGCGGCCCTGGCGAGGGCACCAGCCCACGGCGCCCCAAGGAACACAAAGTTCGTCTCAAGGGCGCGTCCCTCCCCGAAGCCGGCCGCCGACGCCGTGGCCCCGCGGGGTCGGGAGGCGGGAGACGCGGCTGCAGACCCTCGGAGACTGGGGGAGCGGCTGCCGCCGGGGTGCCGGGCTCCTCACGGACGGAGCCAGCTCGGCGTCCTGGCAGCCAGCGCTCCCCGGCGGGCGCCCCGTGTCAACCAATGTCACCGACGGAGAAGTGACCCCGAGCCGGGCCTCGGATCCCTGCACGCCTCGCCCACGGGAGCCGAGTCGCCCGCCTCGCCCTTCCTCCTACCGACCCTCCACGGCCAGAGCAGGCCGGGGCTCCATACCTGGGCGGCGGCCCGCAGCGCCGCCCGGGGCGGGTGGCTCCTCAGGGTGGCGGCGGCCAGCAGCCGGCTGGAGAATATGGAGGCCGCCATTTCTGCGTCCGACCCCGACCCCTCGGCGCCTGCGCAGGCGCAGCGGAGCGAGGCGGCCGGCGACGCCGCTGCTCGGCCGCGTCCCCGCCCTCGGGCCCTCCTTCGGGCGGGCCCGGAGTTAACCCGTCCGCGGCCGCACGCCCTGCAGAGGCAAATGCAGGAACTGCTTGCGCTGCAGAAGCGGGACTGGGCGGGTGTGAAGCACACTTTGACCTTTGGAACTGGGCACCGCAGCCTCAATATCCGACTTGCGGCCAGAAAGCACCTGTATATTTCCTAGTGAAATGTAATGGAAGGGCAACCAGCGTCTCCACCTGTGCAATCTTCACTCCTCTGAGCCTCAGATGTTTCATATGTAAGGTGGGCTGCATTCAAAATATGAGTACTGAAGTTCTGCTTTGAGCCAAACACTAAGTTGAGCCCTTGGGATACAGTGGTGAGTAAAACAGCACAATTCTGAGTTGGTCCCAGCATCGTCCTCTACGCCCAAAAGGTTGAGGTTTCCATTCTGGTGGGGGCGCATACCTAGGTTGCGGGTTCATCCTCCTTAGGCGGGAACTAGAGGCAACGGGTGGATGTTTCTCAGATCGATGTCTCTCTCCTTCCCTCTCTTTCTCAAATCAATAAAAACATATCCTCGGGTGAGGGAAAAAACACGCACAAACAGCGATTCCTGCGCTAGAAGAAAAGAGGGTCGCCACTAGTTATCAATGCAAAACGCACGCCGGAGTTACTTGGGTAGCTTCTCTAAAAAATACCTTTACCAGACTCTATCTGAGGAGAGGAGTCAGGACATCTGTATTTCGTAGAGTTCTGTAGATTAATCAGATGCACACACTGTGCATTGAAAACCCTGATAGGACGTGTGCCCCACCAAGGAACTGACCACTGGACAAATGACTAGACGCCCACTCTGCCCTGGACATAGGGCTTCAAAATGTGTCAGTGGGCAAGACCTTAATCTAGGAAGAGGTGGGCTAGGAAAATAGTCATGGTTCTCATACACATGAACATATGAATGAACTTGGCATCAAGGCACCATTGGTTCTCAACCTTGGCTGCACCCTAGAACTACTGGAGAGCTTTTAAAAATACCTTTGCATGGGCCCCACCACCGAAGAATATAATTCAGTTGTCTGGAGTGGAACCTACAGTGGTATTTTGTAAAAGTTCCCCTGTTTTTAATGAACACCCAAAGATGACAACTACTCCTGTCTTACTCTTTCTACTATCCTCTCTGTTTCAAGGGAGAGTGGGGTGTTAGGGTGTGGGGGAAGTGGTGGTTCAGTAAGGGAGGAGGCGGTCACCATGACTGAGCATTGGATTTAAAGTCAATGAACTTGGATTTGAATTCTAGCTCTGCCACTTGCTAGCTGTTTGGTCTGAAATTTCAAGTTCCACATTTGTGAAAATTGGTGTCAAATTTGGCGGCTTTAAAAATCTCAGTTTTGGAGCCCCAAAATTGAATTGTTATCACCTGGCCAAATTCAAGGTATAAGTACAGCTACACTTCTCTGGAAGCTTTATGGGAAAATCTGTTCCTTTCCTTTTCCAGCTTTTGGTGGCTACTGGTAATCCTTAGGCTGTGGCCACTTTACTCTAATTTCTGCCTCCTTCTCTTCTCTGTCAAATCTTTTCTCTTATAAGGATACATGTACATTAAGGGTCCAACATAATCCAGAATAATCACCCCATCTCCAGGTCCTCGGTTTAATTACACCTACAAAGTTCTTTTGCTAGCTAAGGTAATATTCACAGGTTCCAGGGATTAGGAACTAAATATCTTTCAGAGGGCCATAATTGAGCCTATCACAATACAGCTAATAATGAATCCCCTGACCATCTGACAGGGTTATAGTTAGGAACAAGTAAGGTAAGTAAGTGAAAGCACCTGAAAATGTTATGCAAATGTAAGCTATAATCATGATTGCCACTTTCCATGACTCACCTATTAAACCCCCCCCCCCCCCCCAGGCCAAGAGGGGAAACTGGACTTCCACCTCTACCTGACTGTACCTAAGCAGCACTTCCCCCTTTTTCTTGTTAAAGCAGTGTAAAAAAAAAAAAAAAAAATCAGGTTAAAACAGATTCTCACAACATAATACAAAAATTTCCAGGTTTCATTTTAAAAATATTCATCATACGAAGAACCAGAATCTCAAAGTGAATAAAAAAGAAAATCTATACCTGCCAACACAGAGGCCATACAGATGTTAGATTATCTGCCAAAGACTTCAATGCTAAATAAGATAAATATGTTTCAATGAGCAATTATGAACATGCTTAAAACAGATAGAAAAATTGAAAGCCTCAGCAATAAAAAAATAGAAATTTTACGACTGAAAAATATATAATAACTGAAATAAGAAAGCTCAATGATGGGCTAAATAACAGAATGGAAACAGAGCAAAGAATCCATGAACTGGAAGATAGAAGAATAGAAATAAAGATAGAGAGGAAATAAACTGAAAAGTAAAATAAACTCAAATCTATGGAACTATAACAAAAAGATTCAATATTCATGTCATCAGAATCCCAGAAGAAGAGAAGAACGAAGATAAGGCTGAAAGAGTTCTCAAAGAAATAATGGCTGAAAACTTTCCATACTTGACAAAAGACATAAACTTATATATCAAGAAGTTGGGCAAACTACAAGCAGGTCAAAGAAATTCACAGAAGACACACACCGCGACCTTCGCGGCGAGGTTCAGGATCTGAAGGAGGGGCTGACTCACAAATGGAAATACTATACAAGAAATATCAATTTAGAAGGCATTGGGGGCCAGGTGGAGTCTCTTTCTTGAAGAGACACACCGAGACCTAGCCTTCGCCGCTTTTTATTCAGTTTTAGATACACATCTTGCCCTCAGTAAAGCACGGCAAACAGGTAGCCAGACAGACCGTCTCAAAGGTCAGTAAAGATCAGTAAGGTCCAGTAAACATTTACTTGGAGGCTATCAGGTCAGGAAATTGCTTCGAGCCACCACTATCTCAACGCGAACAATCAGTGCCTAGTGTCAGCCCTGCTGACGCACAAGGTCCATTGGCCTCCCGTGTTCCTTGGTGCACGCTCATAACAGTATTGGCAAGCGGTGGCTTCCTGCAGACACATAACTAAATTTCTGAAAACCAAGACAAATAAAAAATCTTGACAACAATCAGAGAACAATGACTTTTACCTGTAGGGGCTAAAACATTCAAATGACCTAAATTTTCTCATCAGTGATCTTTTAGGCCAGAAGAAAATAGCACAATAAATTTCAAGTCCTGATTAGAAAAGGACTGGCAACCCAGAATCTTAAATGTAGTGAAAATATTCTTCAAGAATAAGGAGAAATCAAGACATTTTCAAATGAATGAAAACTAAGAGAATTGGTCATCAGAGAACTTAATACCTAAAAGAAGGTCTCTAAACATAAGGGAAAAGATCAAAGAAGAAACCTTGGAACATCAGAAAGGAAAGAAGACCATGGCAAGCAAAACTATGGGTAAATATAATGTGTACCTTTGTGTACTGTTGGTGGGAATGCAGATTGATGCAGCCTCTACAGCATGGAGATTCCTCAAAAAAAATTAAAATTAGAATTGCCTTATGGCCCACCAATTCCACTTTTAGATAAAAGAAACTCAAAGCCACGCCTCTCGTTGTCTCTTTTCCTGCCTCCACTAGAGCAAAGCTGCAGTCCCGTGACAGCTGAGGATGGCTGGAGCTGAGGGTCACGCTGGGCAGCAGTGGGAGCTGGAGCCCGTGGTATCGCTGGCTGGTCGAGAAAGAGTTGGAAAATGAGGGATGAGCCACACTGGGTGGCAGCAACCCCAAGAAGTGTTCCTACTTGCAGCTCAATAAAGAGACAAGCACTATATACCTGTAGTTAGTACCTGCACCCCTGAGAGAGAAGAACCAAGCAGGAATTTGCCTAGCTTGCAGTCTTGAATGTCATGGAAGTCATAAACTATTTGAGCTATTCACAAAAATAAATTTTCCTTGTGATTGTGGAAACAGCAAGTTTAAAAATTTGGAATGCAAATTATTTCCTGACAATGCAAAGATAAATTCTGGCAATAAGTATAATGACAACTTTTTTGGATTGTACTGCATTTGTAAGAGACCTTATCCTGAAGATGAAATTCCAGATGAGATGATCCAGTATGTAGTCTATGAAGACTGGTTCCATGGAAGTGCCATTCCCCCTGAGAGTAGGTTATTTCTAAGAAATGGTTTGCCAGGCTTGTGTGAAACGCTGCTCTTTCTCATGGGCTTATGCTGCACAATTGGCAGTAACCAAAGTATCTGCTGAGGATGGTGGGTTAGTGCTGAATGTCGATGGAACAGGTAATCAGGAAGTTATCAAACCTGAAAATGAAGATCATCAAGGTATTACGTTCAAAGAGGATGTTCCATAACATACAAAGGATGCTGTGAAGGAAGTTAAAGCAGAGCAGACTAATAAACCACGGACCAGCTCCACTTCTGAAGCTGACCTCCAGACAGTGTTTGAGAATCAATGTCTCAACACAGAATCACAGTATGGCTGCAGACTTCAGGAGGTTAAAACTAAGTGTTTTAATTAACCAAAGAACTTATATGTACATATGCATAGCCCATGGACACAGGCAATAGTGAGGGGAAGGCCTGGGGTGGGGTAGGACCCAGGTGGAGGGGAGCAAAGAGAGGGGGTAGGGAGAGGAACATCTGTAATAACCTCAACAATAAAAATAAAAAAAACAACTGTAACGTTAGACAAATGTGCATGGAAGTAAGGCACATCATTATTGTACTTTAAAAGTTGTATATAGTAAGACATATTTTATTTTTACTATATATTTTTACTGAATGATCTATTCCCCATCCCAAGGCAAGCATGAATAAAATTAGGTTAAATGTGGAAAAAAACCCATGTTTTATAAAGAGAGACACTGCCACCTATTAGCCTCTAAATTGGCATAGCAAGTTATGTTCCTGCAAAGGCGTATGAAAATGTATGGAGATCTAGATGTCCTATTCCTGACAGATGAATATGATACAGTTCTGGCTTATGAAAACAAGGGC